GTCACACCTCAACCCGCCTCAAAGCCAACGCTGATTGGACGTTCGTTTGGTGAACGGCTCCAAATTTTCTTTAACGGAGAGTCTCCAGACTGATCTGCGAGTGAAACCTTGAAAGCTCGCGGGATCAGGATGGTCTCACGAGGCTAGTTTCTCCTTCCATCCAGGACGCTTTCTCAATTCAAAATGTCAGAAATAGCATTCGATATAGTTCAATTCAGCCACGCCAACAATTCCCTCTAACGACCCCCCTTTCAGACACATAGACAGGTATGGGGCATTGCAGGCTGACAAAAGAAGCCAAACGACCCCCATTCCAAAGGGGGGGACCCGTTTGTCTGTTTCAGTTTGCATGTTTTCTAAAGGTTTTATTGAGCTACTGTATAAAGCCTGGAACTAAACGCTATTTCTGACATTTTGAATTGTAAAAGCTTCCTGGATGGAAGAGAAACGTCTTTAAAGTTGGAAACAAAGTCCAGTGGATTGTTTTGTCGCTTCATCTACACATTATACTGTTTGCATAAACCAAAACCAGGCCATGATATGAACTAACATGAACTAATGATAATTGGCTTCAGGTTCAGCTTTATGTGAAAGTCTGGTTTTAGTAAATAACATTTTTAATAATAGATTTCCCCTTATTCTGCCCTTATACTCTCCACCTGTTGAAATGCTTTATTTATAAACTAACCTATTGACCTATTTCTACAGAAATACCCTGAAGGTCTAATATTTGGTTTATTACCTCAAAGGTAAAAGAATTTGAACCCTAAAATTAATAATCTTTAATTTAAAGCTGGAAAACCAAGGATTTTTCTTTTTTTTTCTACAGTCGGCAGCAAAAAACAAAAAAAAAAAAAAAACAGGATTTATTATAAGCATTTATTGCTTTATGATGAAATGATTTGGTTAAAGCTGCAGATAACCTGTTTAACACCAGAGATAAACCGCTGTGTGAGTGAAGCGTCATATCAGCGGTTTCTGTTCAGAAACCCTGAAGTTCAAAGCTGAAATTCTGACTTGCAGGACGATTCAGTTATATTTCAGATGGAGAGCTTAAAGTTTTACGCCTAAATAAAATAATCCTAACCTTTCTGTGCACCTCTAACTGTTCTTCATCTCTTATGATTTTAGATAATCAGCAGAAAACTGACTGATCTAAACGATTTAAAACCCCAAACTACATGAGAGAAAGGTGCAACGAACCCCCAGTTGATCCCAAAAGGTATTAAAATAATCTGGAGCCACTTTTACATACATTTACTGTAGTTTCACAATATTTAGATTTTTCTTTTCTTTTTTGTTTTAAAGCCAAGTTTAAATGTTTAGGTGCAGGTTAACCATCAGCCAATAACATGCTGCTGAACACTTTCAATCAAAGTTAGTTAAACGACTAGTTAATGATTAGTATGTCGTTAAATATCTTTAACTACCAGTCGGCCTCTGATTTGTTCTTTGTTGGTTTTTTTAGGGCCGCAACTAATGATTATTTTTTAAATCGATTCTGTTGATTTTTTTTTTTCGATTATTAA